ACAGCAGGACCCATCCTGGGTAAATGAAGAGGCTAAATGGTCAATATTTATGGGACCTGGTCTTCTACCACCTAAATATGACATGCTTGTCCTCTGAGACATTTTCTCAGAATGTTCTTTTTTGAGGTCAGAATAAGCTTGTGTAATTGATTCCAGGCAGGAAAAGAGCAGCAAAGGGATTGGTTAGGAGTAAGTTAGTTTATGGCATTTTCCAGGAGACTCATGGAACCAAATGTGGGTGGGGCTTTCTCACAGGAAAAGCAATCTAGAAAAACACCCATGCACTCCACAATACTGTGGAATCTCTTGCCACCAGCCACCTTACATAAGTTGCTATTCCTGAATGCCTGGGGTGGGGAGAGCTGGACATCTAGAGTCTTGTCTCTAGAACCTCCACCAAATCTGTCTGGAAATCCATGCCTTCACCCATCACTTGCAAAAAAAAAAAAAGAGCCCTGTGTGTGACATCGTCTGTGTGCTCACTCCCTACTTCAAGGTTCAAGGTCTTCTATGACACTTTCCAGAAAGTTGACCAATTCTCGAATACTAGTTGCAAGCGAGCCTGGGAAATGTGGTTTCTGGGTTTTTTTCAACTCTCTAAACATTATAGTTTAGTGGACTTTGATGTGAACATCTGCCATTCAGTTCTGATCCAAGGCAGATTGGGATATTTGACTTAATTCCCAAGTTTTCACAGACTTGCATGAAAATTGAACTAATGTGATTTTGCATAAGAAGCCACAGCCCAGGCATCAAGAGACCTAGCTTGTATTTTTGTATTCTGCCAGTAACAAGCTAAAGAAACTTGGCAATTTATGTAGGTTTAAAGGAATAATGTTCTCCAGCTCTTTCAGTGTGATACTGCATATAGTCTTGTTCTTAGGTGGAGGCCAAGAGAGGATGTGAATTTGAGGCCTAGAAGAGGGGTGTAGTAGTAATAGGGAGCTATGTTTTGGTGGCTTTGGAAAGTGACATTAGCTTCTAAAACAGCAAAGTGAAGAAAGCATTTTTATGAAAAACCTGTTAAAAATTTTCATTAGGCCCTCCCTGGTG